TGAAAACATGCTGAAATACTCTTTTCATCAAACCATCTGCTAGTCTTACTAGAAATGTTGATAGTTGTACAGCTTCTTGTCGGCCAGTAAACACTAAACTTAAGTATCTTACCGGTATTTATACACATATTATACATGTGTACGTTTTAATATTAATAGCTTTTTACTACTTTGGTTTGGATTGTGGCATTGATGGTTTGAGGCTCCTGTCTTCTACTACCTCAGTGGACTTGTCTGTTTTGGACTAGTCCTGATCAATTTAAAGATAGATAAAAAAGCGATTCAGCAGCATGCACCCTCTCTGATTCACACAAACACATAGATGCACTTCTTGCACAGATAGGCGAAGTGTAAGTGCAATAAAAAGTTATGTTGTGTAGCCTACTATTTCTAGTGCAGTCAGGTGATTTGCCATTGGTGTAAGTTTCTGTCCTGCCCATTTGCCTCATGGAGGAGGGAAAAAGGATATGAAATTAGATTAAAACAGAAATTGCCCGTTATATTTAATATGCTGTCTTGTCAATACCTTGACTTTGACTGCCCTTGCTACATGATTTGGGGTCCTTACTTGTAGTTCTTGATGTTAAATGGAAGAATAACTGTTAAGCTGATTGTTGTGTGTGGTTTTCATTGCGAAAGTGAATAAATCTACAAAAGGTATCTCTTCATTGCAATAAATATTTTTAGTAATTTTAGTCTTCTGAATGCTGAGTCCATAATTCTAGTGCTGTAATTTTTTGAAAAGTGGTATTTCTACTTTTGACTTTTTATGACTGAAGCACAACTTGTTATAGTTTGCACATTTTCCGTACCTTGATTTCCTGTGGAGGACTGGAAAAGAGGCATGTGGGTGATGGTTCTGCTTGTGTGTTCTGATATATGGAAGAGGATCACCTCATCAGACATTGGTCACATGATGGTAAGAAAGAACAAAAGCTGACCCTTTGAAACTGGAGAGACAATGTATGGATATGATATTATTTATTATGATAAATGGCACAGGCAGGTGGGTGCTTGGCAGGTGCTCTGGTGTGGTTTGCTCCATCTTTCCTATAAAAAAATCGTATCATCTCTATCTCCCCTCCTTTTTTGTGTTTGTTACTCTCTTGTAACACTTCTACTTCTAATCTTCGGCACTGATATATGACCGTATTGTGTTGCAATGCAAGTGCCTTAAAACACTTACTAAAACTAAACTGGCACAGGCATGCAGCAAGGCTCTACGTTGTTTTTAGAATTTATATAGATTTGAAAAGTTTAATTCTGCCCTTTTGAATAAATTACAGTCAAACCTTGTACGGCCCCACGTTGTACAGCCAGCCCCGCTTACCGCCAGGTTTTGCCAATGTACAAAAAGAATCCTCTAGAGATCATACACATAGTATTTTCGCCTTTGCACCGCCATCTACCAACCATCGGATAGGGGCGGGCACGAGACGAGCCGAGTACTCGTTTCTCGCGAGAAATGCCCTTCCCGTCGCTGCCCGGGCATTAAACTACTGCTCGGTACCGAGAAGTGATACTGCTCGTTGGCTTGACATAACGAGTAACAGTAATGAGAGTGAGAGGCGAGAAATGACACGCAGACAGTGCCACCCATCACGGTGCCGTCCCGTGTGTGAAACTGAAAGGGAGGGGAGAGGGTGGCGAGACGAGGCGAGTGGGGAGTTGATCAGAGCCTAGGCCTAGGTCTTCCTACCTTCCTTCACCGCAACTGGGCTAGCCTAGTTTAGATCCCCGCCACGAACGGCCTTCTCGCTAAACGCCCGTACTGCGGGGCGAGAAGAGAAATTGGTCTCAAGACAAGAAGCATTTCTCGGGACACGAGATGAGAAGCATTTCTCGGGACCGGTCCCGGCGAGAAGTAGGTCAGCTTCTTGGTCTTCTCGCTCGGGAAGGAAAAAGCGCTTCCCGCCCGTCTCTACCATCTGAGTTGTACGGCCTTTATTAAAGTACTGTAAATTTACCGTGCTGTACCGCCAGCGAACTGGCTACCAAAACTATACAGTATACATGGCGCTTGGCACATCCACTCAGTGGTTGCTTAACAATACATGTATTTCACACGCGAGTCTGCTATACGAGCTAGGCCTAGGTCTAGATCAAACGCGTTTCGCAGATTTGCTCCCTCCCCACCCTTGTCTTGTAGATTTCAGGAAATGTGGATCTAAGATCAACAGTGATGTAGTGTTACAAACGAACACAATACAACGTGTAATGTACAAGTAAAATAAAACATAACAATGAGTAAAACGTGTGAGAGAGAGAGAGAGAGAGAGAGAGAAATATTGACAGTGTGCTATGAGAGTAAATTTTTGGGTCCAATTTAAGAAGTGAACTTACTGTGGCGACACACAGTCTTTTTATGACTTGATGTCACGATCTTTACATAAAACAATATCTGGCAGATTCAAACTGATTTTACTGTTCTTGAACCTGTCTCTTCTATGAAACAACAACTCTTTAACTCTCTCTCTCTCTCTCTCTCTCTCTCTCTCTT